TGGATGGATGGATGGATGGATGGATGGATGGATGGATGGATGGATGGATGGATAGATGGATGAGTGAATTGCCAGGGCTTTAGTTATCTCTTGTATCCTAGTCATTTAAATAAAAGTCATCACAGAACCTCAGAATCAGAGAGTATAATAGAGACCTCAGCTGCCTTTGAATCCAAACTCTGCCCCTTGATAGCATCCTGGGCATGTGATCCTCTAATCTTTGCTCAAAGCCCTGAAGTCATGTGGAAGCTCCTTTCTCTCTCTGTCTCTCTGTGTCTCCTCTCTCACTCCTCTCTCTCTCCTCTCTGTCTCTCTGTCTCTCTGTCTCTCTGTCTCTCTCTCTCTCTGCCTCTCCCTCTCTCCCTCTCTCTCTCTCTCTCTTTATCCCTTTCTCTTGGTAGCCCTCATCCTTTGGTGACAGCTCTCCTTCTTAGGAAGTCTTTCCTTATATCCATCCTAAACTTGCCCCTCTCTACCTTCCACCCCTTCTTCCCAGTTCTTCCCTTTGAGACCAAGCAGATCAAGCTAAACCCTCTTCCAGAGGCCAATCCTCCAGACATTTGATGGCAGCTATGATGTCTCCCTTGGGTCTTCTCTTATCTAGGCTGGATATCCCCAGTTCCTTTAACTGATCACCCTATGACATGATCTCAAATCATTTAATCATCCTGATTGTCCTTCTCTGGACACTATCCCACTTACCACTGCCCTCCTTTGCCAGGTTTAAGAGTACAAAGATCTATTCCTGAGCTAATTTATGCCTACCCAGTGAGAGCCTTCACACCCTTTCCCAGTCCTGCTAATAACCAGTATTTTTACCCCCAGAATCTTGGTGAACAGTCACCAGTATTCTCAGCCTCTGATGGGCCCTGGTCCACAAAAGTCCCCCTGCACACTTCCACCCATGGGTGACACTCAGCTTTGCTTCACCTGATGTTGTTCAGTCATTGCAGTTGTATCTGACTCTTCGTGACCCCATTTGCTTTTTTTTATGTTTTTTTTTTACTTGTTTTGTTTGTTTTTTTGTTTTTTTGTTGTGTATTTTTTTTTTTGCCAGGATACTGGAGTGTTCTGCCATTTCCTTCTCCAGGTTTCATTCAATACCTGCTCTCAAAAATGGCAGAGCTCTAGGACCCCTGGACTATGTACCTAGTCAGGGACAAGGAAGGACACCATGAACAGTGGCCACTTTAGGTAATTGTGGGACCAGGCATCAGTCATTTCCAGGTAGTTTTTCTGCCCTGCCCAGAGGCAGGGGAGTGGACCAGATGATCTGAGGAAGATCATAGTCAGAGTGGCAACCATTTGTCAGGTATATTATGGTGGAGGCACTCCTAGGCAGGATAGTGTGCTCACACTTGAAGCAATTATCCTACCAACTTCACTTCTGAATGAGACCTAGCAGATGGCCAGAGGTACTCCCTTGCTGCAGGGTACAGCATATCCTGGGCTGGGTCCCACAGGTTGTCCCTCAGGGCATCAGTCTTCACCAGGCTTGGCTGCTGGCAGAGTCCATTATGATTTTTAGTTCCTAGACCTTGAAAAATGTCATGAGTCCCTGTTACAAAGGAAAAGATCCCCAAGCTGGAGGCAGCCCCATGGCAGACACAGGCTGGCCTTGGCAGACACAGGCTGGCCTAGGCAGCCACGTGCTCACTGACTGACCTAGTGGAGAGAAGGGCACCTCTGCCCCCACTGGCCTTCCAGTGTTCAGAGTTCACCTTCCACCCTAGGGTCAATAGAAAGGAAGAAGTTCAGGTTTCTGAAGCCTTTTGTGCTCTCGTCTCTGGCTTAGCCAATAACCAAAAGGCCCCTCTTCATCGCTCAGTAAATGGACAGGAAGCAGATCCAGAAGACCTGCATGGTTATAGCTCAGAGCTGGTCCCTTCCATTCTCCATCTTCGCATCCTTCCAGAAACAGCC